GAGCCCAGCCACCCTGAGGAGAAAACTCATTTCAGCCTCTTGTATCCGCGATCTCATTCTTTGGGTCTCAACCCAAAGCTCGTGAGCATAGGTGAGGGTAGGAACGTAGATCGACCGGTAAATCCAGAGCTGAACATTAGAACTGAAATAAAAACAAAACAAGTGTTCCTAAAACTAAAATGTGCTTCGTTAGTATGAAGTCCAGTTTGGGTTGTTTTATGTTCTTGCTGCATCAAACCAGCAGCTGCTACGTCAGTCACATGATCTGTTTTCAGACGGTGTTGTGCCAAATTAGTCCTCCTAACAGAAGCTGCACCCCCTGCATGAGAAAAAGCTGTAAAATGTGGGATGAACAGATGCCCGTCTCTAGTTTTTCCACAGGTGTGTAACTTTAAACGCACAAAGACAAACTATAACTGAAATGAATAAAACTTAAGAATTTTCTAAATATTAAAATCCACTCAAAGGCAGCCCAGTTGAAGCTAAATAAAATACTGAATTATTGTCGTAAGTCCCTAGTTTTTTTCCAGGACAGGTGGGCGGAGTCAGTGGGGGGTTTGCTAGTCTGACTTCCACGGTGACAGGAACCACCAAATTTTACTGAACGGGTTGTCCTTACCAGACTCAGCAGCTGATATGTCAGCAGGTGTCTCCTCACGTCTCCAACCCAAAGGTCCACCAAGGTGAGCAACAAGTACCTCTCCCATCTACCTGAATCCTCTTGCAGAGGCTTACGTCTCGGCCCGGCCGCTCCGGTCATCACAGGATGGTCGGCTAGCAGTGCCTACACCACGCTCAGGACAATCCAGACTCTTCTCATGCATCGTTCCACAAATGTGGAATGACCTACCAAGCTCTACCAGAACAGGAGCTTCCTTTTCAATGTTCAAGAAACTCCTGAAGACCCTGCTCTTCAGAGAGCATCTTCTAAACTAGCACCCTCCCTGCACCCGTCCCCCCCCCCTCTCTACTGTCCACTCCTTGTTCCCTCCTCTCCATGACTGATGTCAAGTTGTTGTTGTTGTTATTGTTGTTGTTAGCCTCAAGGGCAACATGCCGATTATCACTTGAAAGTCGCTTTGGACAAAAGCGTCTGCTAAATACATAAACATAAACATAAACATGAGGCATGTTGGATAGTTACCAACACCTGTCAGCGTACTCTAAGGAACCCTAACCCGCCTTTGGTGACGGGACCCAAAACTCCCTGGCAGCGCCACTGGTCCCCTCCAGTCTGTTCACTGGCTTCACCAACTCTTCATTAGGAAGTATTTCACTCATGCTTTTCACAATAAAAGCATGTTTTTGCTGCCTTTGCTTTGATTTGAATAAGCAGCATGGGTTTTCGTTTTCAGAGTGAACTCCATCCGTGTGGAGAGCGGAGCCTGGATCTGCTACGACCACCCCGACTTTAAGGGACAGCAGTACATCCTGGAGCATGGCGAGTACCCAGAATTCCAGAGGTGGAACTCCCACAATGACCACATGGGCTCGTGCAAGCCAATCCGCATGGTAGGCACCCCACGGCGTGAAAGGGGCAGCTGATGTTCATGTCATTCTTGCTTCTTCATCTTCATGACCTTCCCATCAGGACTCTTCCACGCAGGAGCTTGTCCGGATTACAGTCCCAAGCCACTGAGTCTGGTTTTTATCTCCACAGCATGGAGAACATTATCGCATCGAGCTGTTTGAGAGCTGCAACTTCTCTGGACAGTGTGTGGAGATCTGTGATGACTGTCCCTTCCTGCAGAGCCGAGGTTTCTCCAAGAACTGCATCAACTCCGTCAGGGTCTACGGAGACGGCGCGTGAGTCCCACACAAGCACACACTCCTTCAGCTTAACCTGAAGCTTCTGAACCACCAGTCCTGTCCTGGAGGGGCTGAAACAGTTCCAGACAGGTCAGGACTGACCTTCTGGCAGGTCCACTCATTGGCTGGGACATCCCCAACCCCCCACAGGTGAGAGCAGATGAGAAACCTTTATGAGTTTAGTCCCTGAGAGATGAGCCTGGTTGTGGCTCCAGCAGGGTGAAGATAGTCCTGATACTGACAGTGACACCTGGGGGTTGGGGTCCAATCCAAAGCTTATAGGTTCTGGTCCTGTGTGATCCAGAACCACCTGTTTGGACTTCATGAGAAGTTAAAGCAAGAACCCGAATAACTGCAGATCTGATAAAAGGCTGAGCAAAGTTCCATTCAGACCTTCAAACTTCTTCTGAACTAGTCACATCTGAAGGAAACCCCCAAGCTTACACCTGTGTGTGGCTCCGCCCCCTCTCCAGGTGGGTGATGTACGAGGAGCCAAACTTCCGGGGTCGGATGTACATCGTGGAGCGTGGAAACTACTGTGGCCCCAATGAGTGGCAGGCCCAGAACCCCAACATCCAGTCCATCCGCAGAGTCGTCAACTACTTCTGATGCTGCTGTCAGCTGATCTGTGACCCGGTCCAATAAACAAACACGACTAAGAGAAGATGTCTGGCTGTTCATTACACACACTGTGTGTGTGTTTGTGTGCATGTGCGTGTGTGCATGTGTGTGTGTGGGTGTGTGTTTGTGTGTGTGTGTGCGTGTGTGTGTGTGGGTGTGTGTTTGTGTGTGTGTGTGTGAGTTTGTGTGCATGTGTGCGTGTGTGTGAGTTTGTGTGCATGTGTGCGTGTGTGCATGTGTGTGTGTGTGTGCATGTGTGTGCGTGGGTGTGAGTTTGTGTGCATGTGTGCGTGTGTGCATGTGTGTGTGTGTGTGTGTTTGTGTGTGTGTGTGCGTGTGTGTGAGTTTGTGTGCATGTGTGCGTGTGTGCATGTGTGTGCGTGGGTGTGAGTTTGTGTGCATGTGTGCGTGTGTGTGAGTTTGTGTGCATGTGTGCGTGTGTGCATGTGTGTGTGTGGGTGTGTGTTTGTGTGTGTGTGTGCGTGTGTGTGAGTTTGTGTGCATGTGTGCGTGTGTGCATGTGTGTGCGTGGGTGTGAGTTTGTGTGCATGTGTGCGTGTGTGTGAGTTTGTGTGCATGTGTGCGTGTGTGCATGTGTGTGTGTGTGTGTTTGTGTGTGTGTGTGCGTGGGTGTGTGCGTGTTTGTGTGCATGTGCGTGCGTGTGTGTGAGTTTGTGTGCATGTGTGCGTGTGTGTGAGTTTGTGTGCATGTGTGCGTGTATGTGAGTTTGTGTGCATGTGTGCGTGTGTGTGTGTGGGTGTGTGTTTGTGTGCGTGTGTGTGAGTTTGTGTGCATGTGTGCGTGTGTGCATGTGTGTGTGTGGGTGTGTGTTTGTGTGTGTGTGTGTGTGTGCGTGTGTGTTTGTGTGTGTGCGTGTGTGTGTGTGAGTTTGTGTGCATGTGTGCGTGCGTGCATGTGTTTGTGTGTGTGGGTGTGTGTTTGTGTGTGTGTGTGCGTGGGTGTGTGCGTGTTTGTGTGCATGTGTGTGTGCGTGCATGTGTTTGTGTGCACGTGTGTGTGTGTGTGCGCGTGTGTGCATGTGTGTGTGCGTGTTTGTGTGTGTGGGTGTGTGTTTGTGTGTGTGTGCGTGCGTGTGTGCGTGTTTGTGTGCATGTGTGTGTGCGTGCATGTGTTTGTGTGCACGTGTGTGTGTGAGTTTGTGTGCATGTGTGCGTGCGTGTGTGTGAGTTTGTGTGCATGTGTGCGTGCGTGCATGTGTGTGTGGGTGTGTGTTTGTGTGTGTGTGTGCGTGGGTGTGTGCGTGTTTGTGTGCATGTGTGTGTGCGTGCATGTGTTTGTGTGCACGTGTGTGTGTGTGTGCGCGTGTGTGCATGTGTGTGTGCATGTGTGTGTGCGTGCATGTGTTTGTGTGCACGTGTGTGTGTGAGTTTGTGTGCATGTGTGTGTGTGAGTTTGTGTGCATGTGTGCGTGCGTGCATGTGTGTGTGGGTGTGTGTTTGTGTGTGTGTGCGTGCGTGTGTGCGTGTTTGTGTGCATGTGTGTGTGCGTGCATGTGTTTGTGTGCACGTGTGTGTGTGAGTTTGTGTGCATGTGTGTGTGTGAGTTTGTGTGCATGTGTGCGTGCGTGCATGTGTGTGTGGGTGTTTGTGTGTGTGTGCGTGCGTGTGTACGTGTTTGTGTGCATGTGTGTGTGCGTGCATGTGTTTGTGTGCACGTGTGTGTGTGTGCGCGTGTGTGCATGTGTGCGTGCATGTGTGTGCATGTGAGTGTGCGTGCATGTGTGTGTGGGTGTGTGTGCGTGTGCGTGCATGTGTGTGAGTTTGTGTGCATGTGTTTGTGTGCATGTGTTTGTGTGCACGTGTGTGTGTGTGTTTGTGTGTGTGCGTGCATGTGTGTGTGGGTGTGTTTGTGTGCATGTGTTTGTGTGCATGTGTTTGTGTGCACGTGTGTGTGTGTGTTTGTGTGTGCGTGCGTGTGCGTGCATGTGTGTGAGTTTGTGTGCATGTGTTTGTGTGCACGTGTGTGTGTGTGTTTGTGTGTGTGCGTGCATGTGTGTGTGGGTGTGTTTGTGTGCATGTGTTTGTGTGCGCGTGTGTGCATGTGTGCGTGCATGTGTGTGCATGTGAGTGTGCGTGCATGTGTGTGTGGGTGTGTGTGCGTGCATGTGTGTGTGGGTGTGTTTGTGTGCATGTGTGTGTGTGCGCGTGTGTGCATGTGTGCGTGCATGTGTGTGCATGTGAGTGTGCGTGCATGTGTGTGTGGGTGTGTGTGCGTGCATGTGTGTGAGTTTGTGTGCATGTGTTTGTGTGCATGTGTTTGTGTGCACGTGTGTGTGTGTGTTTGTGTGTGCGTGCGTGTGCGTGCATGTGTGTGAGTTTGTGTGCATGTGTTTGTGTGCACGTGTGTGTGTGTGTTTGTGTGCATGCGTGCATG